TTTTTTTTTTTTTTGACAGTTTTTAAGTTTACTGCTTCAATCTTTTCCTCGATAATTAACTATTAAGTAAGTAGTTTCCAGTGGGAATGCCTTTTTAGGGTTTTCAAATTAAAAGAGAACAGCAAGAATGCATTTTAACATTTCTGGGTTTTTCTCTCCCTCCCCCCTCCCCCAGTTGTCATGGTGGTAACTGGTTTCCAGTTTGTAAGTACTTGGGCTCTGAAGTATAAAGAGGAGATCACAGGACTGGGGAGATTAACTTATGTGCTAAAGTGATTGCAACAAAAGTCTGAGTACCTGAGTTTGATCTGTAAAAGCCATGTTTTTAAAGGCTGGTGTAGTGGCCTGCACTTATTTGGGAGGTAGAGACAGATTTCTGGGGCTCACTGGCCAGCTAGCATAATGTACCTTCTGTGTTTGAGGCCAGTGAGCAACACTGCCTAAAAAAAAAAGGAAGATGGATGTGTCCTGAAGACTCATACCTGATATTGGATAATTGCCTCTACATGTACACACCCACGCTCACATTCCTGCACATGCACACACACCTGAACATACATATACATACATATGCACCACAGTGAGCTGGGGAGAACCAAGATAGGGTATTTTATAAGAAACAATTCTACCCATATGTCATCTCTGAAAGCTTGTTGTTGTTTTGTTTGTTTGTTTGTTTCGGCTTTGGGGGTGGTATTTTGGGGAGTGACTGATTCAGGGTCTCTCTGTGTAGCCTTGGCTGTCCTGGAACTTGCTATGTAAACCAGGCTGGCCAGGAACTCACAACTTCTACCTGTCTCGGCCTCCTGAGTACTGAAATTAAATATATGCATCACCACTTCAGACTGAAGGTTTTTGTTTGTTTGTTTGTTTTTTTGTTTGTTTTTTTGGTTTTTCAAGACAGGATTTCTCTGTGGCTTTGGAGCCTGGAACTAGCTCTTACAGACCAGGGTGGCTTTGAACTCACAGAGATCCACCTGCCTCTGCCTTCTGAGTGCTGGATTAAAGGCATGTACCACCAACGCCCGGCTTTGTTTGTTTGTTTGTTTTTTTAAAGATTTTATTTATTATGTATACAACATTCTGCTTCCATATATATCTGCACACCAGAAGAGGGCACCAGATCTCATTATGAATGGCTCAGCCATCCATAATAGATGGGAATTGAACTCAGGACCTCTGGAAGAGCAGCCAGTGCTCTTAACCTCTGAGCCATTTCTCCAGCCATGTTTTCTCCTTTTTAAGACAGTGTTTCTCTGTGTAGTCCTGGTTCTTATGGAACTCCCTCTGAAGACCAGGCTGGCCTTGAACTCAAAGACCAGCCTGCCTCTGCCTCCAGAGTGTTAGGATCAAAGGGGTGCTCCACCACCATCTGGCATCAAGCTGAGGTTTTAATGTGAATTACAGTAAGATATTGTGGGGACTGGAGATACATCTCAGTTGATATAGTGTTTGCCTAGCATGCCTGAAGCCATTGATTCAAGCCATAGAGCCTGCATTAACCGGGTGTGTAGTAGGTAGCACATCCTGTAATCCCAGCACTTGGGAGTTACACATCTAAAGTATGAGGCCATTCTTCGTGAGTTCAGGACCATCCTGGGGTTTGTGAGACCCTATGCCAACAATAACAATACCCCGTATTCAACAGTTGCTGAGTTCTCTTCACTTGATTCACAGCAACTCTTTGACATGAGTGCTGCAGTCCCCATTTTAGAAAAGAGATTCTAATAATGTCCTAGTTAACTTTTTTAAAAAGTTGCATGTAGGGACTGGAGAGATAGCTCAGAGGCTGCTCCTCCAGAGGTCTGAGCTCAATTCCCAGCAAACACATGGTGGCTCACAACCATCTATAATGAGGTCTGGTGCCCTCTTCTGGCCTGCAGGCAGACATGCAGGCAGAACATTGTATACATAATAAATAAATAAATACATCTTTAAAAAAAATTCTGTTTATATATGTCATGTATATTCTGGTAACCCCAGAGGCTAGAAGAGAGTGTTGGATCCCCTGAAGCTGCAGTTAGTGTAGGCAGTCCTAAACTGGAATTCCTATGGGCAGTCATAAGCCGTCTACTGTGGGTGCTAGAAAACAAAGGTGGGTCATCTGGGGGCACAGTACACACTGTTAACCACTGTGCTGCCCCTCCAGTCCCCTAGTTAGATTTAACTCTCAACTTGGTACAGCCTAGAGTCACCTGAGAAGGAAAGCCTCAGTTGAACAATTCCCTAGATAAGATTGTCATTTGAAAAACCAATAAATAAGCAAATAAAAAGATCGTCACACCGTAGCACTTGTATGGGGTTTTTGTTTAACTGGTGGATAAAGACTTAGAGACAAAAATAAATTCTCTTTTGCAACCCAGAACTCACTGTTGTATGAGTTTTAATACATGTAAGAAGGAATATCACACACATAAAAAGGGTTGTCACACCAACAAAGCAGTGGGGGGCGGGGTTGTCTTGATAACTGAGTAGGAAGAACCTAGCACACTATGGGTAATACCATCCCCTTGGAAGGTGGCATTGGACTGAATAAACTAGCTGAACCTGTTTTGGTGTCTTTAATCTCAGCTTTCTAGAGGCAGAGGCAGGCAAATTTCTCTTGAGTTTCAGGATAGCCTGTTCTACATAGTGAATTTCAGGCCAGCCAAGGAACATGTACCCATAAACAGAGTTTGGGAGCAAAAAACCCTTGAAATGGGACAGTTACCTTGTACTACAGTAATTCTATTAAAAAACATCACAGAAACTGAGGTTATAACTCAGCACAAGTTCTATTTAGTAAGTGCTTAGTCCCAGATGTTCAATCCCCAACACCACAAAACCAAGATGAGCATTTCATCTCAATTATCACTAAAACACGGGCCTTGGAGTCTTTATAACTGCCATTCCCTCCTGAGATACTTACATCCTTAATAAAGACGTGGTTTGCTTTCCCAATTCATCAATAGCTCTATTCCATTGTTCTTGTTCAAGAGTCCTGCTGCCCTGGAGTGGCAAAGACAGCTCAGTGGATGAAGGTGCTTGCTGCCACACCTGATGACCTGTGGTCAATCCCTGGAACCCACACAGACAAAGAAGAGAATGACTCCCAAAATTTGTCCTGCCTTCTTCTACAAGCATCGCAGATACATACAGTCTCTTTCTGTCTCTGAGTGTGTGTCTGTCTTTTTTTTTCTCCCTCTCTCCCTGATTTTTTAAAAATATTTATTATTATACACTGTTCTGCCTCCATTCCAGAAGAGAGCACAAAGATCTCATTACAGATGGTTGTGAGCCACCATGTGGGTGCTGGGAATTGAACTCAGGACCTCTGGAAGAACATTCCATCCTCTTAATCTCTGAACCATCTCTCCAGCCCCTCCCCCTGTTTTTTTGAGACAGGGTTTCTTTGTGTAGCTTTGGCTGTCCTAGAATTAGCTCTGCTCTGTAGACAAGGCTGGTCTCAAATTCACAGAGATCTGCCTGCTTCTCACTCCCAATTGCTGAGATTAAAGTCATGTGCCAACAGCACTCCGTTCCATACTATTCAAAAAAACAAAAAACCTTCTGAATGAAAACTAAAATGCTTGCCCTAAAGAGCAGCCTGCTCTATAGAGCTAGTTCCAGGACAGCCAAGGCTACACAGAGAAGCCCTGTCTCAAGAAATCAAAATATGAGTCGGGCATTGGTGGTGCATGCCTTTAATCCCAGCACTCAGGAGGCAGAGGCAGGCGGATCTCTGTGAGTTTGAGACCAGCCTGGTCTCCAGAGCGAGTGCCAGGATAGGCTTCAAAGCTACACAGAGAAACCCTGTCTCGAAAAAACAAATATGTAAAGTTTTTATTTTTAATAATAGCACTCATTCAGCTATGGCTAATGCTCAAATAGGAGCATTATTCAGCAAACTGCATAGACGGTTTCAATAACATTCACCCCTTAGGGTTAAGCATATCACATATGTTGTCATTCTCAAATCTCTTTCAGGTCCCCATCCAAGGTTACACTTTGAATAATTTAAGCAGACATAGGAGACTTCAAGTGTGGCCACTTGGGCATATGGCAGATGTACACAGCAAAGACATTGCCAGAGTTATCGATTAACGTGTACCAGAGCTATTTTTTTCAAATAGCTATTACCCAGGCTCACCTTGCACACCTGGTAGAATTATGCTTTTTTTTTTTTTTTTTTTTTTCCCAGACAGGGTTTCTCTGTGTAGCTTTGGAGACTGTCCTGGCACTGGCTCTGTAGACCAGGCTGGCCTCGAACTCATAGAGATCTGCCTGCCTCTGCCTCCTGAGTGCTAGGATTAAAGGCATGTGCCACCACTACCTGGCTATGCTTTTCTTATTAAGAACACAGGGACTTAATGGCATATCAGAATTTAGTGGTATTTGTGACTCAGAGCTGTTCCCCCTTAAGCTGCCCTTCAGAGCAGGGGTCCACAACCCTCCTAATGCTTTAATACAGTCCCGGTACCATGTGGGTATGTCAGCATGTGGGCAGGCCACCTGGAGAAGGGTAGAGGAGCAATGTCTCCGATCCTTAGACCACGGGAAATACGTGTTTCTGATAGTTGTCCTGTGGAAGGGTCATTCGACCCTCAAGGGACCACCACCCAGAGGTTGAGAACCACTGCTCAAACAATAAAATAAAAATAAGCCTTTAACAGGCAGATCTCTGTGAGTTCGAGACCAGCCTGGTCTATAAGAGCTAGTTCCAGGACAGTCTCCAAAGCCACAGAGAAACCCTGCCTCAAAAAACAAACAAACAAAAAAAAAAAATTAAAATAAGTCTGGGAAACCTGGTGGTGGCAGTGCACGCCTTAAATCCCAGCACTCAGGAGGCAGAGGCAGGCAGATCTTTGTCAGTTTCAGGCTCTGAGACAGCCACAGCTACACAAAGAAACTCTGGAAAACAAAACAAAAGTCTGGGAAATGCTATACAAAAAAAGAGGTGTGGGGGGGATATAAGCTAATCAGGGTAAAATGGTTCTGGCTTGGAGTCTCAGCACTCTACAGGTACAAGTAGGAGCACCTGAAGTTCAAGTATATCCTTGGCTACACAGTAATCTGGACACCAGCCTATGCTACAGGAGATCCTGTCCAGAGGAAAAGTAGAAAATGAGTTCTGTGAAAAAAAAAAATCACTGCCAAACTGGGCATGGTGGCTCATGTCTATAATTCCAGCATTTAGGAGGCTGAGTGAGGCAGGAGAACTGCTGCAAGCTTTAGTCCAGCCTGGGCTATAGAATAAACAACAGAGGAAAGGGGGAGAGAAGGAAGGAGGGAGGGAGCCAGGCTCCCTAGATCCCTGATTTTTGCAGGGGGCATGAAAATATGTGGTACTGGGACTCATCAAAGGCCACGTTCCCTATTGTGGAGGTCACCAAGGCATGCACTCTCACACAGGCATCACCAAAGTACCAGCTTCCTGCCTCCCTGGTGTATCTATCACACCAGTTTACGGCTCCTGTTGTCTGGAACATGTTCTATCTCACTGTTCCCTTGTACTGGTGAGTCAGCTTCCATCTACTTCACGTTTGACTTTGGATGCCATCGGGGAAGTTTGTGTTTGAGAAACAGCTGGTAGAGAGTAGATACAGCTTAGCCTTGACATGTACAGCAGGCTGAAGGTGAGCATTCAACACGAGGACACTACCTTTGTTTTCTGAGACCACCTTTGCTCACAGGAGTCTTCAAGTAAAACTTAATTTTCCCAAGGAACCCTGGGAAAACATTCTTGAGTCAATGTTGCCTGAGTTTTGTTAGTTTGGGGTTAGGCCTGTAGGACTGAAACAGAGTCTCAATTCTGTATCCCAGAATACCCTTAATATCACAGCAATCCTGCCTCAGCCTCTCCGGTACTGCAGTTACAAATGTGGCCCACCAGAACAGGAGCTCAAGGGTCAAAGGTTTTTTGTTTTTTACTTAACATTTTTTTTCATTTATTTTACATACTAACCACAGTTTCCCCTTCCTCATCTCCTCCTTTTACCCCGCCCCTGCTTCCCAGGTCAAATGTTCTTAAACCCTGTGCTAGTGAAACCAGAACTAAGGACCTGGAAGCCCAGTTAGCTACCACAGTCATCAAGAAGGGTTTTGAGCTATAGTCTATAAAGTGCTTTTAATATATGATATAATATATATTTCAATATAATCTGTAAAGGCATTTTCCAACCTAGTGCCCAACAACCTGTCTTTCAAATCCAGTTGCTTCCACTCACGTCCCCTTGCTCTACTTACTCATGTCCCAGTGCTCTGCTTACTCATGTCCAGTGCTCTGTTTACAGGACACATTTTTTTTTTTTTTTTCGAGACAGGGTTTCTCTGTGGCTTTGGAGGCTGTCCTGGAACTAGCTCTTGTAGACCAGGCTGGTCTCGAACTCACAGAGATCCGCCTGCCTCTGCCTCCCGAGTGCTGGGATTAAAGGCGTGCGCCACCAACACCCAGCAGGACACATTTTTTTTTTTTTACAGCACTCTTACTGCCTTTGTTCTCTTTGTTTATTTATCCTTGCAAACACTGAGCACTTACTCCAACAGGATCAGAAGTGCTGCACACTTATGGCAGTACTGTGTAGCTCAGGCTGACCTGCCATTCATGAAACTCCTGCCTTGGTCTCCCAGGTGCTGGGGTTGCAGAAGCACACACCCATGTGTAGCAAGCTTTCTTGTTGGACTGAAAGCCAACTTTGGACTGAAGCCCCCAAATAATGACCTGGAGACTTACTTTTAATTATAAAAGCTTGGCCTTAGCTTAGGCTTTTTTTTCAACAAGCTCTTATAACTTAATTAATCCATATTTTTTTTTAATATAAACCTACATCCTACCACATGGCTCAGTTCCTTCTTTCTACAGCATATCAGACTTGCTCTAAGTCTGTTGGTAAAATAGTGTATCTACATCCCTCCTCTGATCTCTCTGTCTCTGCCTGCAAGTCCCACCTAGTCTCTCCTGCTAGCTATTGGCCATTTAGCTCTTTATTAAGCCAATCAGAAGGTGTCTTAGGCAGAGACACATCTTTACGGTGTAAACAAATATCACACAACAACCATAGCCAGGTACAGATATGGTTTTTTTACTCAAATCACTAGTACAATACGGTAAAAGCAGAAGGTTTTTTTTCCTTTAGCGTTTTCATTTTCCTTTTAGTTAAAAGTTATGTTGGTCTCAAATATATAGAAAGGAACTTAAATTTAAAAACAAAACTGAAAAAAAGAAAGAATGAAATAAAAAAAAAGCAAGGTATACTGGCATAGTGATCTGGTGGTACATGCTGTAATTCTAGCACTTCAGAGGTAGAAGCAGGAGGATCAAGAATTTTTTGTTGCCGGGCACATACCTTTAATCCCAGCACTCCGGAGGCAGAGGCAGGCAGATATCTGTGAGTTCGAGACCAGCCTGGTCTACAAGAGCTAATTCCAGGACCGTCTCCAAAGCCACAGAGAAACCCTGTCACGGAAAAAAAGAATTCATGGTAGTGCTGGACAGTGGTGGCACATGCCTTTAGTCTAGTACTCGAGAGACAGAGGTAGGTGGATCTCTGTGAGTTTGAGGCCAGCCTGGTCTGCAGAGCAAATTCCGGGAGAGGCTCCAAAGCTACACAGAGAAACCCTGTCTTGAAAACAACAACAACAACAACAACAAAAAGAATTCAATGTTGTTCCAGGATACTCTTGGCTCTGTCCATCTGCCTGCTCCCCTCATTCTCTTCCCCGCTCCCCTACCCCTCCACCATCCCCTGCCGCCTCCACCAAAAAGGCCCTTACAAGGTGTCAGTGGCACATGCTTTTGATCTTAGCATTAGGGAGGCAGAGACAGGCAGAGATCTCTGAGTTCAAGACCAGCCTATATGGTGAGTTCCAGGACAGCCAGGGCTACACAGAAAAATGCTGTCTCAAAACAAAACGAAACAAACTGAAGCCAAAGCCATGGTGGAACACTGGTTACTGCCTTGTTCTTCATGGCTTGTCCGGTCTCTCTCTCTCCCTTCCTTCCTTCCCTCCTTTCTTCCCTCCTTCCTCTCTCCTTTCTCTCTTTCCTTCCTTCCTTCCTTCCTTCCTTCCTTCCTTCCTTCCTTCCTTCCTTCCCTTCCTTCCTTCCTTCCCTTCCTTCCTTCCTTCCCTCCCTCCCTCCCTTCCTCTCCCTCCCCAGAAGTCCCACCTATTCTCT